TGCTCTGGAACAGGGGTTCTCAGACTTTTGTACTGGTGACCCCTTTCACATACCAAGCCGCTGAGTGTAACCACCCCTTATAAATATATAAAAAAGTGTTTTTAATCTAACACCATTATAAATGTTAGAGGTAAAGTGGGGTTTGGGGTGGAGGCTGACAGCTTGCAACCTCCCCATGTAATAACCTTGCGACCCCCTGAAGGGTCCTGACCCCCAGTTTGAGAACCCCTGTTCTAAAATATCCCTTCTTGCCCAGTCCTCTTCAAGCTGTCCCAGTCCTGTCTCTTCCTCCACCCTGGCTCCTTGTCCCAAGCCGGTTCCAGTCTCAACTCCTCAGGCTTCTCAGATCTGTTCCTAGTCTCCTTGCTGAGCCAGTCCTAGCTTCAACCCTCTGTTCTCCTCCATCCCAGTGTCCCCACCCCCTTGTCCCCAGCCAGTCCCAGTTTCCTCTGTCCCCTGGCTCCCCATCCAATTTGTCTCCCTCCCTCCACAATACCCTGGCTTCCAGTTGTGCCCCCAACCCACGTTTCCCCATCCCCACCTCCCTCATCCAATGTCATTCTTCTCTCACACACCCTCCTTGTTCCAGTCTCTGCCCACCTCGTCTGGATCTCTTTCCCACACTCATACACATGGCTTCACATCTGATCAGTCTCCTCCCCCAGGCTCAAAGACCCAGACGTCCCGCCAGCTCCCTTCCCTCCTCCCCCCATCCCCACCAGCCTCCAATCGCAATTTCCCAGTTGGTGATTGGTCCTGCTTTGAGCAGGGGGTTGGGCTAGATGACCTCCTGAGGTCCCTTCCAACCCTGATATTCTATGGATTTCCCCCTCCCCACTAGACTCCTTGCTACCATCTATTTCCAACCACTCCCACCTGTCCAGCTAGGTCCTCTGCAGCCATCAGGCAGCCTCCCCCCCTTAATTGCCTGGGCACAACAGGGGTTCATTGAGAGCACCAAAGAGGAAAGGCTTCCTCCCTGCTTTCAGTTCAGATGCCTGGAACTGGCAGGGCCCACAGCAGCCAGGAACTGCAAATGCAGGGGAAGTCTTGCAGGATTATAGCTGCTAAAATCTACAGTCTCTATTGCTCAAGTGTGAACTGATTTTTTTCCCCCAAAACAACCAGATTTTGGTGCATTTTCACAGAAATGGCAAAAGGCACATCCCTGACACAAAGACCAGCCTACTGCCAAACTTCAAGTCCCTGCTCTAAAGCATGGGTGCCCTAAGCTTTTGAGAGGAAAAGGGTCACTGGGACTTTAACACGAGGGAAAATAAATTCCCCTAGGCTCATTTTCAGAAATGGCTAAACCTTTTTGGCTGAAGTTCTCCCAAAGAAAATCAGCCTGAGACAGACACCTGGCATGAAAAATTTCAGCCCAAACAGTTAAAAGTCTGGGAAAAAAGTTATGAGTCACTGGAAAAAAGGGTCTTATAACAGGAAGTGTTGAGCAACTTGCCACCATGCCGCCAAGAACACTAATTTACATCCATGATATATGCTGTTTACATTTGTATCTCATCCGAGCAAGCAACCCAGATGGTCAGGGTCGTATCTATTTATAGCCTGTCATTCCTAATCTCTCTCTCATTCACCTGCAGGAAGTGTGGACGTCAGCTTAGATACTGCAGAGGATGTTTGCTTGTTAAGTTTCCCATTGGATATTTTACTTCCTTTTCATGGAGATTAGGGCAGTTGATTAACTGCAGTTAACTCGAGTGATTGATTTAAGAGTTAATCACGATTTAAAAATCAGAGGGGTAGCTGTGTTAGTCTGAATCTGTAAACAGCAACAGAGGGTCCTGTGGCACCTTTAAGACTAACAGAAGTATTGGGAGCATAAGCTTTCGTGGGTAAGAACCTCACTTCTTCAGATGCAAGTAATGGAAATTTCCAGAGGTAGGTATAAATCAGTATGGAGATAACAAGGTTAGTTCAATCAGGGAGGGTGAGGTTCTCTGCTAGCAGCTGAGGTGTGAACACCAAGGGAGGAGAAACTGCTTCTGTAGTTGGATAGCCATTCAGTCTTTGTTTAATCCTGATCTGATGGTGTCAAATTTGCAAATGAACTGGAGCTCAGCAGTTTCTCATTGGAGTCTGGTCCTGAAGTTTTTTTGCTGTAAGATGGCTACCTTTACATCTGCTATTGTGTGGCAAGGGAGGTTGAAGTGTTCTCCTACAGGTTTTTGTATATTGCCAATTTAATATATTAAATATCGTAATATATTTACGATTTAAAAAACTAATCACGATTAATTGCAGTTTTAATTGTGCTGTTAAACAATAGAATACCAATTGAAATTTATTAAATATTTTGGATTCTTTCTACATTTTCATATATAATGTATTCTGTGTTGTAATTTAAATCAAAGTGTATATTATTTTTTATTACAAATATTTGCACTGTAGAAACAAAAGAAATAGTATTTTTCAATTCACCTCATACAAGTACTGTAGTGCAATCTCTGTCCTGAAAGTGCAACTTACAAATGTAGATTTTTGTTACGTAACTGCACTCAAAAACAAAACAATGTAAAACTTCAGATCCTAAAAGTCCACTCAGTTCTACTTGTTCAGCCAATCGCTAAGACAAACAAGTTTGTTTACATTTACAGGAGATAATGCTGCTGTCTTCTTATTTACAATGTCACCAGAAAGTGAGAACAGGCATTTGCATGGCACTTTTGTAGCCAGCATTGCAAGGTATTTACATGCCAGATATGCTAAACATTCGTATGCCCTGGCCACCATTCCAGAGGACATGCTTCCATGCTGATGACACTCATTAAAAAAATAATGTGTTAATTAAATTTGTGACTGAACTCCTTGGGGGAGAACTGTATGTCCCCTACTCTGTTTTACCTGCCACATATTTCATGTTATAGCAGTCTCGGATGATGACCCAGCACATGTTGTTCGTTTTAAGAACACTTTCACTGCAGATTTGACAAAACACAAAGAAGATACAAATGTGAGATTTCTAAAGATAGCTACAGCACTCCACCCAAGGTTTAAGAATCTGAAGTGCCTTCCAAAATCTAAGAGGGACGAGGGGTGGAGCATGCATTCAGAAATCTTAGAAGAGCAATACTCCGATGCGGAAACTACAGAACCTGAACCACCAAAAAAGAAAATCAACCTTCTGCTGGTGGCATCTGACTCAGATAACGAAAATGAACATGCATCAGTCTGCACTGCTTTGGATTGTTATCGAGCAGAACCCATCATCAGCATGGACGCACGTCCCCTGGAATGGTGGTTGAAGCATGAAAGGACATATGAATCTTTAGCGCATCTGTCACATGAATATCTTGCGAGGCTGGCTACAATAGTGCCATGAGAACACCTGCTCTCACTTTCAGGTGATATTGCGAACAAGAAGTGGACAGCATTCTCTCCTGCAAATGTAAACAAACTTGTTTTTTTGAGTGATTGGCTGAACATGAAGTAGGTCTGAGTGGACTTGTTAGGCTCTAAAATTTTACACCTTTATTTCTGAATGCAGTTTTTTTGTAGATAGTTCTACATTTGTACATTCAACTTTCATGATAAAGAGATGGCAGTACATTACTTGTATTAGGTGAACTGAAAAATACTATTTCTTTTGTTTTTTACAGTGCAAATACTTGTAAAAAAATATAAAGGGAGCACTGTACACTTTGTATTCTGTGTTGTAATTGAAATCAATATTTGAAAATGTAGAAAACATCCAAAAATATTAAAATAAATGGTATTCTGTTATTGTTTCACAGTGCGATTAATTTTTTTAATAGTTTGATAGCCCTAATGGAGATATCTATGGGTCTTGGGTTGGGTCAAAGCTGATAGACAAATGCTGAATTTTAGACTTGTTTTGAACACTCCTCCAACCTCTATTATAGAGGAGTTTAGCTTGTGTACATGCTTTAAAAGAATCACTTACACATAGTGCTTAGGAAGAATATAAATGGCATTGATGGCATGGAGGTTGAGAAGCGAGGTGTCATACAAAGGGGCAGGGAAGACAACATGAGACTAATGGAAAGAAATTGAGCACAAGGAAAATTAAGACTTAATTTAAAATTAGACTAAATATCAGGAAGACTTTGGACACCTAAAGTGGTTGAACCTACTCGGCGTTTGATCCAATTAAGACAGGATTTTCTGTAAGTAAAGCTATTGAGATGGGGCTAGTCCCTTCAGGACTGTCCAAGCTACCAATGACTACTGTCACCAAGGTGACAGGACAATTCAGCTGCTTCTCCAGCCAGGGCACATTACAGTACTTGGTACAGATACAAAGGGACAAGGAAGAGTTCCATTTAGACTGTTAACGGATCAGGATTTATAAGCCACCGAAGAGGAGCATCATTTACTTTTAGTGTTGGAATGTTAACCCGTACAATCCTAACACTGAGATATTGACAAGTTAGAGGGAGTTAAGAGAAGAGCACCACCAACAGATTAATGAGCAGGAAGGGCTGTGTTAGAGTGAAAGCTTAAGAGAGCTGTATTTGAATCGCTTGGCTATCCGTGGGGCAAGCATGACCATGTGGGACAGACAGGTGCATTAGCATAAGTTAGGGAAAAGCTGGGCTGAATAGTATGAAAAGCTTCCTGATATTGAAATCTATGAAAGTTGCATAATGGCTCCTCACATACACACACCCCTTCCTGCCCCTCAAGGAAAGTGGCAGAAGCCCATTGCTTGCGACATTTATGGCACAGGTCTAGAACAGTACACTTTCTAGGGAACAATTCTGCACTGACTCCTCAGGAATCTGGCCAGAGTGCCATCTCTGATCGGATTAGAGGATAGAACAGATCCAAGCCCTACAGTTGCCTCACACTCTTCTGATCATGTGCATCCTGGCACTGAATTGCCAAGACACTATAAAAGCACTTTAGGAAGTTCCATTTCCTTACTTCCCTCAAAACTTCTCATTTCTCCATTTGTGCAAGCTGGCCCACTAAGACTACCATGGTTCTCCCCTAGGGCAGCAGGAGATCAAACATACATTTTCTAAGCAGGTGCTGTCTTTGTCCTTGTTGAGGTAATGCTGTTGCCAGAATCGCAGGAGACTGTGAAAGTTGTTCAGGATGAACCCTGGGTATTTTTCCGTATATTCCATCTCTTGCAGTGTGTGCAGGTAGAAGGGTAACTTGTCTTTCCTTCGGGCCAGCATTAAGATAACTAAGCTTGTGTTCAAACAACTGACGTTTTCCTAAAATAAAGGAGACATGGGAAATCAAGTTACAGAAAAATGCAGAGATCAAGTATTCCATGAAATGAAGACACAGAATTCATTTAGGGTCCAAATCTATCCAAGATAAATGCTTCTAACTCCTAGTGCACAGTGAAGACAAACACATCTTGAAAAGAAGTCAGACCCCCAAACCCATTAATACACATAATGAATGATTACAGTGATCATATTTTAATGTCAGCTCTTTACCTGTGTGAGTGTCTGTACATGAATAATATTAATGAGGCGGAAAAGGAAGGACATTCTCATGGACATCTGAGACATGTATGATAACAGGCGGCACTCTGACAAGACTTCTGCAACTATAGGGAAGACAACCAGATTATTAGATTTGCAGAGTTTAGATACCAAAAGAATGAAACTGTCACTTAAAAACTGGATGTAAATGGAAGACAGTAACTCCTGAACCTAATGCAAGACTGGGCATCATATTCAGAGCTGCAGACAGGTTGTGCTTCTCTCTGAACAGAGCCAAGGGAGACTTCCGGTTGAAAAAAAGATGGTTGTCCTGAGGACAGATTGTCTTCAGCCACAGAGTTCTTTTACTGCTGGGTGATCTGCAGCTGAAGGCCATCCCAGCTGACAACGTGGGTAGCACAGCAATAAGAACTGGTGCTCACACCCAGTAAGTACATGGGCTAAGTCATGCATCTGAGACACACTCCTACTAAGGATTTTAAAGCCTGACTGTAATCTCTCAAAGAGCTGCCAAATCTTCCTTTACCTTTAATATCAGACTGGTTCTCAAATCGGTCCAGAGACAATGTAATGCAGCGAACCAACATGTTTGAGTCAACCAGTGAACTGTTGATCTGATTCAAAAAGATCTGAAACTAAAGACAGACATTTTAGTGCTACATTTGCAAAAGTGATATACTTTATAGTGGTAGGCACTTGTGGAGTAGAGTTTCATACACTTTGAGAAGATTGTATATGGCTAACAAGCTGGATATTACCCATGGCGTGAACAGTAATTAGGATTAGCTGCCCATTGCAGGTAGGTCTGCAAACAAGGCCCTGTGATGAGTACAATTATGTGACCATGCAAATGGCCTTTGGAAAAGTTACTGCATAACTGTGATCATGAATTTGAGCTTTTGTTTTAAAGGACTAAGTCTCTAGCCACATTGCTTGCAGTGATGCCATGTCACGTTCTGAACAGGGGTTGTGCATCCAAGTCTGTAGACTACCTCAAACAGTACATCAGAAGTACAAATGCCCCGTTCATTTCAGAGGTAACTATGAGCCCCCAATCCCCAAATTATAAATTGCTTCTGCCCAGAAAAAGGAAAGGGGCAAATTAACCCATGTACATCACAACACTGCACCTAGTATTTGGCACAGAGCAGGGTGGTTGGTATTTTTTTTTTTTTTTTAAAAGTAGATTTACCTTCTCATCTGTGTTGATATATTTGTTGAACCTCTTGAAAGCATCAATGTTGAATTTCATCAGTTCTCCCAGCAGATCAAAGTAACTCTGAAGCACATCCCGTGATTTGCACTCACTGTCAACAATGCAGTAGAGAATATGCTGGCAAGAAAGGAAAGTGTGTTACCACCACATTTTAGCCTAAGTCACCAGTAAACTCAGATTCAAATGCTTGTGATTCAATTACTGCTTCAAAAAGTTTATCCACATTTCATTCTTTTAAGAGTAGGTAAATCAGGTGATTTTTTCCATAGCACCCACAAATGGAGTATCTAAGATCTGAATCTAAGGTAGATATAAATCACTTAAAATCTGGATACTGTAAGTACCTGTACCAGTTCCCAGAGTTAGATTTAACCAAACCTAAACAACTATGATCACGTACAACATTTTAGGTTCCTATAATCACAGATTTACCAAATGCGATCACACCCTTAAAAGTTTATCTTGTTGTTGAAACCAGAGCTAAACCTCTCAAAGGTGTTGCATTAGATATGTCTGCCTATTTGCTGCAGTGAATTCTAGCACCCGTTTTTTAAGCTTCCTGGATTTTCTTAAAAATTAAACCCACCAATTCCCATGGAGATACATGCTAAGTTTGTTACAGTGTATTTGTGCCAGAGCAGATATCTAGGTTATTACCTCCAAGAGTCCTCTCTTTAACAGGAACATCTGGTCTGCATAGGAAGTGGCACCTCGTAGAAAACTCTCAACTGCCCTTGCTTGCCAAAACCTGAGACAAATATAAATGAAGTTTTACTAATTCAACCAGGCTATAACAGCTCATTGGGAAAAGTTACTTTACCACATACACCTCTACCTCAATATAACGCTGTCCTCGGGAGCCAAAAAAATCTTACCGTGTTATAGGTGAAACCGCGTTATATCGAACTTGCTTTGATCCACTGGAGTGCACAGGCTCCCCCCCGAGCACTGCTTTACTGTGTTATATCCGAATTCGTGTTATATCGGGTCATGTTATATTGGGGTAGAGGTGTACATCTCAGGCTAAACTAAGTTTCCCTGTTCATTTAGTTTCAACATCAAAGTGAAGCGGTGTAAAGCAATTCCATAGAATAGTCACTCTATTCCACTCACGCTACCAGAGAAACCGAATCAGAACATTTTAAGTCTTCTCACGATGGATAATAAAATACTTCAGCGGTCATGAACTCTGAAGACTAGCAAGTCTTCCCACCCCACCAAAAAACCACATACATCAATGTAAATGGAACCCACCTGAAAGAGGACTCAGCTGGTTCCTTCTTCATGACCTGTAGTAGCCTGGTTAACAAACCTCTTTTTCCATCGCAGACTAGACTTCTAAAGAATGCGGGGGGAATATTACAAATATGAGTGGAAGGATGGCAAAAGCAGGTCACTACAGAGCATACTTCTGGAGATGAAGCTACATTCTACTCACAAAGCTTAATATGAAGAGTCCAGTATCACACAGCAATGTCATGCATGAGCATTTCACATTGCCCACAAGAACGGATGACAGCGGCTCCCACGTAGCTCTGATGTTGCAGTCTCCAAGAGCTGCAGTGTAACTGGCTTTCAAGGAAGTTTCAAACAAAGCATTTTTGTTGAAACATTACCAAATACAAAAGAAACATGAGCACTGTGATCAGGAGCAGCAGCAGGCCTGACAGTTTTGAATGAGAATGGAGGGGGCTGGGTCTCACCACACATTTGTAGAAAGGAGAGTTTGGTTCAGCAAGCACAACAACATTTTTGTAACAGAATTCAGACTGAGGCAGCGGCCTAAATAAGTTGTTAGTCTCTGCAGGAAAAACCCATCAAACTGAAACACACACGAACAGCACCTTGACACAACTGGGAGAGTATTTATGCAGGTGGTATATGCAGACATGCTGCCAGAAAAACTGGGTTTATTCAGAAAGGGCGTGGCACCTGAAAACAATAAGGGCAGGAAATGGAATGGTTCTGTTCATGTGCTTAGACCATGAGCCAACCTGCAGGTGTAGGGCAAGATAGTTTAGGGTTTTTCTACTGTTCAAAAAGATAGGCAGCATGACTGCTCCGTTGGTCCATGCTGGTCACTGCCAGCTGAGGTCCTGGATGCAGCCTGGAGCCTACAGAACAGAGCTTTTCACAAAGGAGGGCACTGGCTGTGGGATAGCAGGCTCCCCTTACTAGTGCTATCAGAAAATAGGGAAGGTTCCTCTGCAAATTACACAGGATGGAAGAGGTTATCTGTGGCCTTGCCCCTCCTCCTTCTAGCACACGTACAACACAGGGCAGCATTTCCCTCTGAATGGTTGAAGCAGGGCCGGAACAGCAGCAGTGCTCAGGAAAGAGGATCTGGTCAACACCGGTGGTAGATTCTCACCAACAAGGCAGATAATGAGGAAGTTGGCAACATTTAAGAACTGGGAAATCCCATCATGTGCCAGAGATTCCTTTTCAAAGCCAATGGCACCTTTCCACTCACACCAGCTCCCTGGTCTGAAACATTAGCTGTAGCGTTTAGTGACCCAAATACGTTTGTTGACTTTGTCTTCTGAGCCCTGCAGAGGGAGTGAGCTGGATTCTTTTGTCTAGCACATGAAGAGAACGGTTTACCAAGGGTTTGTCTTCAGAAGTCATATTGATTTAACTAGATCAGTATCGTAGAACACCTTTGTGGGGCCACTCAAATGGGTTTACATATATTATGTCAATTTAGCTTAATTTGGTTATTAGCCACTTTTAAAATCGAACCCCTTTGGCAGGTACTCATATCTTCTAAATCAGTTTAGTGAAATAATCAGTTTAGTTAAATTGACGTAATGTGTGTGTAGGCCAGGCCTAAATCCCAACTGCAAAATATTACTGGTGGCTATTCATCAGCTAGAAAGATTCCAGCTTGCTTCACAACACCCACTTTGTGAGTCTGGCAGGTAGAAAAGCATACAACATGGAGATCATGGACACAAACATCAAACTCCATAATGCCATTGTCACAGCCTCTTTTTAGAGTATAAAGTGCATTTTAAGAGGTCAGCTAGTCATTACTATGAAAATAGGGGTAGCTATTTCTTCCTTTGAAGGATCTGGTTCTCCACCTGGCAATGCAATGGCCTTATAGAGCAACACTATTTGATCCTGATGTGGCAATTTCACCTAGCTTCTTTCACATGTGATATATGGAAAATGCAATTCTTTGCATTTCCATCATTTCCTAGTGGTTTTGTTAGTGCAACTTATTGCTGAAGTTAAGGGAACGGGGCTTCATGGAGGATTTCAAACAGAGCAGATAAAATAAAACCTCTAGTGTAAGTACTTACCAAACATTCAGAGTTTAAGAGAGCTTGAAATAGCAGGCTACAAAACCTATAGCTTCCTCCCTACCTGTCTGTGTTGACAACTGCGTCTACTTCAGGGATGTTGGCTTTGAGGGAGATTGCACTCAGTTCATTAAGTTCTTGGCTGTTTAACAGAAGATACTTGTTCCTGAAAAAAAATCATTGAGAGAAAAAAGGAAAAATGAGGCTGAGCACATCCATTTGTTTCCTTAATTCATGATTTATGTAATGTTGCTAGTTATATGCACTGCATCTGCAATGTGCAACTCCAAGCCAAACAAGACAGTGTGGCTAAGTTATTTGTGAAACTGGAAAGATGGGAACAGACATTTATTTATGCAGCCCACTAACAGGCTGTTGCCCTGCCTAAGAGTGCATGCTATCACATTGCCAGTCCTCCCGAAATTCAGTCCCTGTCACTAATCATTAAAAAAGCAGTGCCAGGCTTCTTACACTTGTCTTTTTTATTATACCGGAACCATCCAAAAGCAAATTAGAGAAAATGATACAATACAACAAGGATAGCCTTTCAGCACTGACAAAATAGAGGTATTTCACCTACAATAATTGCTATTTAATCTGTTGGAAGCTATGACATTAACTTTCAAAAATACAAAATGGCAGCTTAACAGATTTCAGCAAATTCAGATAGCACAGCCTTCCAAGAACCCCTCAAAAAGAGTCTCTATGCTGCCTATCAATAGTTGCCCAATAATATGAAGATTTACTAGTAACAGTAAATTGTATAAGGCACTCAAATTTTCCAGTATTTGGTTACAATTTACTTGACTATGTTATTATCGTATTCCTGGAAAGTGCCAAAAAACATCAGGAAACAAACTAGAAAACAGGGACGGGTATAGCAATGTAAAGAACTCTCAATAAAATATTTAGCCAAGTAACTACATAAAAGAGAAAGTGTTTTTCCAATGTCAGTCGAATAAACCTGAATTGCCCATTCACCATTTTTGAGAGAGCGAAAATCATTTATATACTCTATTCTACAATATTCACTATGAAAGAAATTTTTTTTTTATCTAACAGAAATGCACTACAAGAACTATTCTTTCAAATGCAACACACTCATTTTTTCTGTAAATCATAACTTTAGTCTGGTTTAGTCGCAAGTGGCCAACAATGGTTTATTGATTAATTTTTTAACTACAAACATAGCCTCCTGGCCTTCATTATCAGGACTATCTAGCTATTTTCTAGGCCACACCAATTCCAGCCACCGGTCAGTCAAGGTGACTTCCAAGACTACAAAAGGCTTTCCTTTCACTGGCTATAGTAATGATTGAGATCTCTCTAAAAGTATTGTTTAGCATCTGCCAACACTTCTCCCCTACTTTAAGATGCTGGAGCAAGACAAAAATATAAATTGTTCCTCAGATGCCTTATTACTTTTAACACCTTACCCTGCTGATTAGCATCAGCTGGAGTTGCCACATGGTATCTCTGTTTCCTTCCAGGTCAATAGGTTTCTGCAATGGAATTCTAACATCTCTCACTATTAAAAAGGGAATTCTCTGAATCCTTAGCCAGTAACTCAGGGGTTTAGCTGAGTTCTCTCTCCCTGTACCAACTGAGTTCAAGCACTCTTCAGTCTCTTGCTTTCATTGGGTTTTCAGGTAACTCAAGTTTACCAGTCATTTTACATGCCTTAACACAGAGATTTTACTTTACTATTACTTAATTTTAATAATCCATTTTCTCAAGCATTTCTGTTTTAGATTCCACACTTTCCATTCAGTTTCAGTGGATTCCAATTTTCATGATCTAAATATGTTCAACTTTTAGATGTTTAACTTTATTATTTTTGTTTCAACCACGCCTGAGGTTTTTATAGTGATCGCTTTAATATGGACAGCATCTGAGGAGACTTACTGTACCATCTGGGCTTGTTGCTGGGCTAATAGTGGCTGCAGAGGGAAAGTTTTTGATGGGTTGAGATACAGATCTAGGTCCCAGTTTTCACGGCAGGAGATCTCTCAGTTTTGGCCTGGCCATAGCGGAACAAGGTAAATGTGACACTTTTATAGAATAAGAATTGGTGTAAGAGCATTATTTACCGTCTAGACCAGAAGCTTCTGAGGGTACAAGAGAACAGCATCCGGGTTCCCTCCACCTACCCCATTCTGACATGAGATGTGTGTTCCCTCATTCTGAGCAACGTGTGCATGCTCTTAGGACAGTTTTGGTATTTTTTTATCCTTGCATTTTTTCCCCTGAAACATTACAAACAAGTCAGAATCCAGTGCTATAGGTGTAATTTAGATTGCTCCTTGAAATAGAAATTACCTGCACTGTCTGTGTCTAGAAGTGAACACTTTACTTATCGTTGTCAGAAAGCACTTTTGCATTAGTTCTTATTAGAGCTCTACACCAGACAGCACTTCCTTTCCCAGTCCCTGTTTTCAGGAGATTATGAAGCGGCCCACAGAAAATTACAGATTGACATTTTTCATGCAGTGGGATGTTTGTTGAAAAGGTATGTAATCAGAATGTAATTAGCGAATTATCGGATAGAGGCATGTGTGACAGAACACGTCTTAAATTAAGTTAGTTTTCTCCACGTAGGTGTAGTTTGGCCTTTCCTGTACATTCTAATGATCTATATTTGTTGGGTTTGGTAATTTCATGTAGCTATGCAGTGTGTCCCATAATTACATGGGTTGGAGCCCTTAAGCATCCAATCTAAAAATCTTATGCATTTTATAAAGCACAGCTAAAATTTACATAGCAAATGACATTTGATGGGTCTGACACAATCCAGAGAAAATATCCTACTTAGCTAGTGAGATAGGATGGTTACATTAATACCTCATGGCTGGAACTGAAGTGCTGGCATCAAAGATAATGCCTACAGTTAGATACAAATAAATGTCAACACCAAAAGTGAAAAGATGTACCATGAGGAAAAGTGAACTGGCCCTATCAAACAAGAATACAAAAAAAAAAATCTTCAAAGAATGGTACGCCTGGATTCTGCACATTATAACCCAGAGCAAAATACACACTAGCAAAATGTGTGCCGTTTCCTCAAGCTGTACCACTAAGAAATATTTGCATCATCCTATAGCTCTCGCAAAAAGCAAAGCCATGAAATGTATCTGTTCACAGGTGAGTTACCACCTTACGTTTCTATTAGGACTGTGCGTGGAAAGGCTTTAATAGTCCTAAATTCATACATTTCAAGGCCAAAGGGACCATTATGATAATCTAGTCTAGTCTGACCTTCTTCATAACAGAGACTATACAATCTCACCCAGTGAATTTCTGCATTGAGCCCACAATTCCTGGTTACACTATAGCAGATCTTTTAGCATACATCTACACTACAATTAATAACCCGCAGCTGGCCCGTGCCCGCTGACTTGGGTTCATGGGCTGGTTTAATTGCAGTGTAGATGTTCAGGCTCTGGCTGCTGCCTGGGCTATAGTACCCTTTGAGGGGAGGGTCCCAGAGCTCGGGCTCCAACCCGAGCCTGAATGTCCACACAGCAATTAAATAGCCACTTAGCCCAAGGCCCGCGAGCCTGAGTCAGCTGGCACGGGCCAACTGCGTGTGTCTAACTGCAGTGCAGACATACTCTTAGAAAGACGCCCAATTTTTGACATCCAATCAGCAAATACTAGAATATTGAGACCACCTTCCTACCTTTTGGAAGGAAAAACTGCATACACAGTACCTGAGCTAGTGTTTACCAGATGGTACATAATGAATAGTTTTATCAATTTAAACTACTGGAAGAAATTTAGGATGATTAAATACAATTCCCCAAGCTGAGTTTTATCAGGACTAAACTGTCACTTGAAGAGTTCCATGGGATCCTTAATGATCACAAGTTGCCTAGACCTTGACGTTGCTATTTAAAAAGATCTGCAGCAAAACCCCTGTGCTACACTACTGCACTGGCTCAGTACTCACTCTGAGGGAGGAGAGCCACCTACTGACTCATGAAACCTACTTTCACACTGTTTCTCATTTACCAAAAAAGTCTTTTTATATCAGTAGTGGGACATTTAAATACAATAGGTCAGGGCAAGGTATCTAAATACATTTGAGGGTGCTCAATAATTTAGTTAAAAGTGAACAGGAGATGCCACTGAATACAATTTACTGTAAGCTTATTTTTTCCATACTTACTCATGATGATCACTAAAACTTTGAAGAAGCCTCAAAAACTGTATCTTTAAAGTAATGTCCTACAAAAAACAGAAGGGTGAAAAAACCCTTTAAAATATGTATTGTACATATTACAGCATCATCACTAATGATAAGCACAGAAGAAATAGGTATCTCAGACTAGGCTGAAGTTGGAAATCTTTCAAGACTGAAAAAGTATTTACAACATCCTGAGTGTGACAAGCAATTGGAATAAGGAAGGAACAAACTTCAGCATGAGTTTCCCAAAACAGAAGAGAATGGAAAGGGCGATGGGATGTGTACAATTTAACAAAGCTAAGTTTATTTTAAATAAATAAATAAATACTAAGTTTACCTCCAAGTTTCCAGGTATAAAGCAATGCTTCGTATCTGGTATCAAGGCTCTCAAATCAATGGACTACAGCAACTCCAAGGGAAAGAAAAATTACTACAACTGTAGCATCCAAATTACCATGCAAAATGTGAAATTAGGGTACTCACTGGACTACAGTCACAATTTTGGTTATGCCCATGCAGAACAAGGGCTGATGCTGAATGTTTCCTCCAGATCAGTTTGTCAAACAGGTTATTAAGGCCAGGAATCAATTTGAATTCTGCTATCATTTTGTGAACCTGGAAAAGAAAAATTTTAAGCTTGTCTGGTTGTTTCTGGTGCCTTCATAAAGAGGAAAGGGGCAGTTTAGAACACAGATGGGCATAGCTACATCATCTCGTGTTAGAGACACAAATGCTTTATTGAACAATGTGGGTTTTACTCCACACACAAGAAGTGGTGAATCCCAAGGGGAAGACTTCAGTCTCCTCCAAGAATTAAATTGTCCGCTTCCACTGAACAGAAACATTTGATCCAATTTCTTTGGAGACAGCCTAAACTGATGCTTGAATTTATGGAGGTTCCTCTGATGAAGAATGAGCTAGGGGAAACAGTGTACTCTGGAAGAGGAAATTTAGCACACTGAAGGTAAAGGGACACCCAACTATATATCTATTCTAAAGTTCTTCCTGCAACACTTTAGTGCCAGTTCCCTAGTGTCTTTTCTGCTGATCCTAGGTCAGGCCACTGATTCTAGGGTGGCTCTTTGCAGGCAGGAATGGAAAACGCCACAGGCACTATTTTCAAGTGTCCTAGCGTGTGATACTAGGTGCTGTGGAGAACGTTGTCCTGCAGCATTAGCAGGGAACTGACCTGCGATGCACAAGCAGCACATGCTTTAGTCAGCAAACTGGTATGTTTTTCCTGATGCTTTCCACACTCCACCCCCCTTTTTAAAAAAGAAAAGAAAAAGAAAATGCAGATCATCATCTCTCAAGCACGCCTCTATGCCTGCCAAGGCCCAGATGTGGGACACCATGTGACAAACCCAGAATGAGGGAGTCAGTCAGTCATGCAGGAAACTTATGCTGTGGGATTTCTTCCTTCTGAGTAAAGGACTTCAATTAACACCTCAGATTCAGGATTCTCCATTTCTGATGTAAGTGATTTGGGGGGAGGGGGGGGGGAAGAAGGCCAAGTGTATGTGTGGAATGTCGGGAGCTTTGGGACTAAAATGAGCAATGCCCCTGGAGATGAGGTGCAAGTCAAAGTTCTACTCACAAGCCTGACTAAGACAGTCTTGTTCCTGTGTGCCCTCCCCTACCAATGCCAGGCTCCCTCTGGACTCCCATCACCAACTCTAGTAGACTGTTCAGTATTTTAATTACCAGTTTTATTAAAGATTGTGGATGATGCAAATTATAACCTCACAAAAGTATTAAAAGAGGTTGACAGGTATACAGGGCAAGGGTAGTATTATAAATACAGCAGAGTTGAGACAGCACAGGTTATGAGTTACAGGAAGTAAAAATATTTTATTTTTGTTTTTTAAAATCAGGCCATCTCATTTGGCCCATCTTTCCTCAAATAGTTACGGTGTTTAGATTAACCCAAGCAGCAGGTCATTCCATGTTTCTTAATTTTATTTGGATCAATCATTTTCATAGCTGCCATTCTGTTTAGCAGTCATAGTACTGAAATCCACGGACTGCCTGCAGTCACATTTTGACATGATTTCAGCAAATCAGGACATTTCCCTAACAGGGAATGAGGGATCCTGTTTTTGCATCAGTTTTCTAGCACCACACATGAAGTCTATCTCAGCAGTCCCAGAAAGTGGAATCCTCCCAACATTATATTTGCACTCTGTCCAACATTTCACTCAGCCTTTTACCTACCCCCACCTCTGCCTTCACATGCTCCCATACACCAAGAGCCTCCTGCACAGAGCAAGGGACTCTCCCAATCATTTCCGGAGACACTTATGTAAGTTGCCAATACCGGTCAGCAGAAAGTACTTTGGATGCACTAGCCCCTCACAGTGGCCAGTATGGCATAACCACAGCAGGGTGAACTATAAAATGCAAAAGCTGCATGTGAAAATGCAGACCACGCATGTGAAAGGAGCAGCTCCCTTTTGTCTCCACCAGTGTTCATTGTTTAAACAGGAATCAGATCCTGTCATACCCAGTGCCTTTGTGTCCTGTGCCAACCAACACACTTTCCTGCCTTCTTAATGTTAGCCTGCTGAACTGTAAGACCTAGCGGAGCTAACCTTTGCATGCTAGAACACCCATAAACCAGAAGGGTTGACTTCTAATTTCACTCTCCTTCCTAGAGGCCCCATTTGAACTATAGCTATATAGTTCAGTTTAATGCCAGAACAAAACCTATTTTACACTACATACTTCAAATCCTCTTTGGCATCTTCCCACTGCTGCTCAAGATTGTGAAGACTGTTTAATGCCCATTTCCAGTTCTCTAGTTCATTATGCTAAACCCCATCACACTTCCTCTTAACGTGTACAGCTTGGCTCCCCAAGAAAGGAGCAGGTAGAACAGCAGCGTATCTTTCACCACTTAAGTAGAACCATGTAAGACAACCTAAAGAAATATGTGAAGTGACTACATGAGGGTGTGGTTATAATTACAGGGCAATAAAAGCCAAGAAATGAAGTAAAGCACCACTTCTCTACTAGGGTGTGATCATCCCAAGGCAGCAGTGAAGTGTGGTAACTGAGTCACTGCTAGCACTACAGAGAAGAATTGAACAGTGTACAACATAACCAGGAAGAGAATTGAGAGAGAAACTTCAATATCAGGGAATTTAGTTTATTAGAATGTTCCCTTACTGAAAAATTAAATGCCTGTTCACATTTTTTCTCATAAATCAGTGATCCAAAAAGAGTTTTGTAACCTCCTGACACAGCGTAATTCTGCATGGAATTTCTGAAGCAAGATCTTTGGTTGCTCAAATTGGAAGACTGAGGTCACAAACCTATGACCTTTAATCCCCTCAGCCTGGCAACTGCTGATCTATATGGTGGTTACCATGGCAGAAACAGCAGAGGGAGAACACACTGTTTTCTTGCTGGCATTTCTCATCATAGCGGAATTATAAAGAAGTATTTTCTTACAATGTGCCTTGATTTCAGGGGAACACTTGCTTCTCAGACAGCCATGCTCAACAAAAATAGTATTCAAATGGACACCTGTATGCAGCAAAGTTTGCACATTATGATAGCGAAAGGGGTTGGTGTGGGATAGAAATCAGAGGCAGCTTTTTACAGCACGTTCATGTATATTATGAAAGCTGCATCCTTGCAATGAAAAAAGTCAGAAATGAAGTCTTTGAATTACACAATACCCCCCAAAAATTCAAAGAGCCTTTCACAGAGTCCATGATTTTCTTGATGCCATAGACCCAGCCTATATATTATATTAGTTTCACCCTCTCTGTATATCCTTGAACTGTGAACTGCATGCAATAGGGACTGTGCTTTGCCCAGAAAGCAGCTAAGCGCACACTGAGTACTACCATGAACAATTCTTCTGTTCATGTTCATATTCCTTTGTATCCGTAGGTAGGTTTATAAAGTACCGGTTATTTATGCTTATAGGATTGTGCTTAAAATGTATATTTTTTTGTAGAACTTTCTCTAAATAAAAAAGTGTTTACAAACCTCACCATGAGGACCAGAAGTAAAGGAACTCTATATGGGAAAGTACTGAGTACTTTCTAACCACTGACTCCAATAGAGCTTCACTAAACAAAAACTTGGAGTGCATGGTGGTAGATTCAAGTAGGCTAAACTGAATGCTTGGATTTAAAGAGACAATGACTATTCTATGCAAATATGAACATTTAGGTAGACACTCACCTGATTCCTCTGTCTCCCCATCAGCAATACACAGAGAACATACAACACCTCCAGCTTGTACATGATCTCATGCATGATCTTCATGGACTGCGGAAGCTGAGTTCTTGTTGAGGTATTGGCTAATCCACTTTCATCTGAAGATTCTAAAAAAGAGATCAGAGACATGAGCCTGAGGTATTCCCCATAGGAAAGGATTGGTTACTGCTTTATGTAATAGCAAATAGTGAAGTACTGCAAATGTATGACCAGCACATTTAATTGAAGATCTTCCTAGCAAAAATGAAGATGTGTCATGAGACTGAAATAAGCAAGTTGCAAGTTATCTGCGAGACGTTTTTGTCACTATGGGAGATGCACCACTGAGGTTTAGGTTAGGACGGTGTTAGGATCCTTACCTCAAAGTATTTTTTTAAATAGCTCACCTTCCGATAACAAGCCAAAAAGCATTTCATACACGAAACTAATGGATTACAAATGTGAAATTCCTAATGACATTATGTCACTTCTTTTACCCTTGCTCTCTTCTTTGTACACAGGAAATCATGAATTAGGGGTGTGATTTTCAAAAATGTTCAGCTTTGGCCTAACTCTCCTCTATCTCTCTCCAGTGGGGGTTACAGGTAGGCCAGTGCTGAATGCTTCTGAAAATCCATTCTGTAAGTATAATGTTGAAGGACAGAGCTAAGAACGTAACATGTTTGGGATGCAATGGAAGCCACGATTTGGAATTATTTAGATCACAAAATTGATACACTTTAAATAAAACAGGCTAGGATTTAAAGTTAGACCCATCATGGTGGCTTAACTTAAGGAGGTGCAAGTCATGCTGTCCCCATACTTCATTTTTGTGAACTGGTTAAACATGCATGAGTGCTGGGAGGCATGCAGCCAGAGTCAGAGAGATGCTCACATTGCCCAGAAGAGGAAGTTGCAGCCCTTATTCTGACGATCACAGAGATTATCCAAGATCGAGAGATCTGCGAAATGTATGCACTCCTTTTCTGAAAGAGCTCTCTTTTATAGTAGCAAGCTTTCTCCACTTTACACTAAACCAAAATTGTGCACACATATAGAGATAACACACTGCTTAGAGACAGCTCTGTGTGCAAGACCTACACTTAATTTTGTTTTAGTATATTTGCAGGATTTTTAATAAGAGTTTTTGCCAAAATTCTGATCAAGTAGGATCAAGAGGACAGTTGCTTCTATGTATCTTCAGAAGCTATGTAAAATTTGGGGATCTAGAAAACAACCTTATAAAGATCTACTCCACTAAGGAAAGTAGTCCACCTCCTGCGTTACACTGGTCTACAATTTTTGAGAAGTCGTCTGCTTCAGAGATAAAATGTGCTTTTTATTATGTATTTTGATGTGCTGAATTCAAATATGACAATTAAAACAACTGATTGGCTACTGTTTCTAAGATATTTAAGTTTTTACATTTTATGTCTAC